TATATATATATATATATATATATATATATATATATATGTATCTATATATATACACACACATATACATATACATATACATGTACATGTACATGTACATGTACATGTACATGTACATGTACATAGACATAGACATATACAGTTACATTTACATATACATACGTACATGGATACATACTTACTTACTCACTTACATGTTTACACCACACACACACTAAACATCCTAGTCTTCAGCCCCCTCCCCGACGGCCCCGAAAGCACATAGGTCGTGGGAGGTGTAGCAGGAGAGGCTCTCCCCCACGGCTGGCAAGCGAGAAGGCAAGATGTTCGTGCGAGACCGCGCAGCTCCAGCGGGGGGTGGCGATGCTGGCCACCGCCCTCTGGGGATTTCCGGGGGTGGCAGCCCTGGGCGTGGACGGGGGCGCTGCAGGTGGAGGCTGGAGGAGGCGAGTGCAGACGCGGCCGCAAGGAACCCAGCCCCGAAAACCCGCTGAGCTTGTTGCCCAAGGTCTGGGCTTCTTAGCCTGAAGAAGCCCAGGGAACTTTGATCCGATCGGTTCCTTCCCAAGTCGCACTGGGAGGCTTCAGAAGCAAATCTTGGGAAGAAGCCCAAGGTCGTTCGACAAGGCAGCTGGTCAAACTGGGGGGAAACAATGGACTCCTGATTGCGACCACCTCTTTACGCCCGCGAGAGATCACCGCGCAGCGCGCGAAACGGAGAAACCCGTGGTACCCTGACGATAAGCAGTACGGTATCTTGACATGCGTCCCCGCTCACTACCCCCAGACGAGACGTGTGACACGCAGCCGCTCGGCTCAGGCGGCTGCGGCGCCGCGTGGAAGGGATAGGTCGCGGGTGGAGCTGCAAGGTGACGGAGCGGGGCCGGTCTGGAGGGTGTTGAGAGCACGGCTCCTGGCCGTGCTCCTGGAAGCTCTGTCATCTGGACCGTAGCGGGCCACATGGTTCTCCATGGGCGGCCACGAGTTGCCGAGAAACCGAGAGCCGACCGAACCGATGACGAAACCGAAACCGATCGAAACCGAAAGGGGGCCTGCAGAACCGAATCAGCCGACCGAAACCGACCGAACGCGAAAACCGAACTGCAGGGTCACAGTGGCGCAGCCAGCATGCGCTCTCGCTCCCCGCGACGGCGCACCCCTCACGCGCTTCATGGCCCCATCAGAGCTCCGCTAAAATTCCCAGCGGCGCAGCCCGCGCGCGCTCCCGCAAGGAACTTCGGCGAACCCCTCGCAAGTTTCGTGGCCCCATAGATGCTCCGCCCAAGGCCCCGGCGGCGCAGCCAGCATGCGCCCCCGCCGCAAATTTCAGCACGCACCCCGCGCGTTTCGCGAAGGTTCAAGTGGCGCAGCCAGCATGCGCCCGCGCTAATTTCGGCGCACCCCTCCCGCGCTTCGCCCCATAAAAGCATAGGCGGAAGTCCAAGTGGCGCAGCCCGCACGCGCCCCCGCGACTCATTTCAGCGCACCCCTCAACCGCAACAAAGAGCACTGGCAGCAAGAAAACTTTTACTCTCCCTGCAAGCGGATCCTGGGGGCCGCCGCGGTCGGCGGTCGTCGTCGGCGGGCGAAAACCACGCAGCGCGAAGCCCAGCAGCGAACTCACGTCGCATTCGGGGCCTAGGGGCGGCATTGCGTCGCAATCGATGCCCCAGACCTGGGCCCTCTGCAGATGAGCGCGGCATTGCGTCGCAATGAATGCGCCCCTGCTTCCCCCGACAGCGCTGCGCGCCTACAGCGGCAGAGGGCCGAGGGGCCAGCACCCCGTGACCCCCGAGTTTTCCCTGGCCACCACTGCATCGCAAACGGTGGAGGGATCGAGGTTCTGCCTCGTGCAGTCGAGGAGGAACCTGCAGGTGCTCCACAAGCGCTCCACGCGGTGGTTCGCCCCGGGGATGGCCAGGAACTTGCGCGCGACGGGGCCGAGCACCATCGCCTGCGGGGAAAAAGCTTACACCGTCTTGTAAGAGGGTACAAGGTTCCTTGCTTAATAACCCCCCGGTGGTTTGCTCCCTCCTGAACGCTTAAGGCTTAGGGCTTGGGGCATGAGGCATGGGGCTGAGGGCTTGGGGCTTCAGGGTTGGGGCTTAAGGCAAAGGGCTTCAGGCTAAGGGCGTACTTAGGGCTGAGGGCTAGCGGGGTTACATAAGGGCTACCAGGTGCCCCGAAAGCGATTTTTCGCGGCCCGAAAAATTGTTTTGGGCCCCCCGCGACCGTCAATGCCCAGACTACCCTCGAGCGGACTCCGAATCCTGAGCACGCCCAAAAACGATTTTTCGAGGCCTGAAAAATTGTTTTGGGCACCCCCCCAACCGTCAATGCCCGGGCTACCCTCGAGCGGACCCCGATTCCTGATCACGCCCGAAAGCGATTTTTCGCGGCCCGATAAATTGTTCTGGGCACCGCAACCGTCAATGCCCAGACTACCCTCGAGCGGGCCCCGAATCCTGAGCCCGCCGGAAACGATTTGTTGAGCTCCAAGAAATCGCTTCCCCAAGGCCGTTGTCGCGGGGAAGCGCGAGGCAACCCTGGACTTTATGTTCCGAGGTCGCTCCAGAAATTGCCCGCCCGACGGCCTCGGCCTTCGCGGCCCGCCCCGGCTTCCCCGACTCCTCGAAATACTCGAAGGGGCAGCTCTCCAAGGGGGGCATCGCGGTGTCCTCGCTGAAGTAAACCTCCAACGTGCTCGAGATCAGGTCGTCGTCAGTCCCAGGTCTGTCGCACGGCTCGCCCTGCGACCTTTTCAAGCGCTTGAGCGCGCGATCTGTGGCGGAAGACCGCGTGGCGGGCGCGGGGGCGGCCGCCGCTGGCTGGGCGGGCGGCGCCGGCTGGGCTAGCTGCTGACTCGCCTGCAGCATGCTCTTCGCATGATCCTTCACGATGCGGATGACCTCGGCGCGCTGCTCGCCAGACAAGGGGGCGCCTCGCAGGCGCATGCGCGGGTCCACGGCGCTAGCGACCAGAAGCGTTTCTTCGGGGGGCTGCAGATGGTGCTGATTCGCCATCCGATCTTCCAGCACGGCAGCCCGCAGGGCCAGCGCCCGGGGCCGCAGGGCCGCGCCAGCGATGGTAGCACACTTGCGGAACTCCCCGCGAATGGGTACCTCGCACGGCGCGTCGGGCTGGAGGTCCTGCTCGACCGCGACCATGAGAGGCACGACCTCGCTGGCGAGAGCCCGATGCGCCTGCATGGCGTCCGTGGCGTCGGAAACCGGGCGCAGGACGCCAATGACTTGGCGCGCGAGATCATACTGCGCCTCCGACAAGCGGGCGTGAACCGGGAGACGAGTGTTCTCGTTGTCGTATGCGACGATCGCTACCTCGAGAGCGCAGATGCCTTCCAGCATCGTCACCGTAGACGTCCACGCAGAGGAATTGTCCAGGACAAGCTGGCGCGGAGGGCAGCCGATGCGCTGGGTGACCCTGGCGAGCTCAATCGCGCAGTTCTCGTGCCAACGGAAGTGCTTCACGAGGGCCCGCGCCGTCTCGCGCAGGTTGCACACGGCCGGCACGGACCTCTCGTGGGCCTGGTGGACCTCGTTCCCCGCGACCACGCGCTTCACCGGGAACAGGAGATGACGCGGGGTCAGATTGTAGATGTGGCGCATGCACCTGAGCTGCTGCACGTTCAAGCACCTGGAGGTATTTATGGCATTCCCGGTGTTGTCGCTCTCCACCGCCCAGAAGAAGTCCTCCACCTTGATGCCCCACTGCTCCTTGCAGCTCCAAATCATCCTCTGCGCCTGGTTAGCGGCCGTGTGCTCTGCGCCCAGGACGTCGCAGTACAAGAGCAAGGAAACGCGCTTGAAACCAGTCGTGACGCCGTGGAGGATCAAGCCAAAGTACGACTGCTTATTCGGAGCGGGCCACATGTCAACTTCCGCAACTGCCTTATTCCCTCCAGCCAAGATGTCCGCCAAGATGTTTCGGACGCGCGAAGCCACTTCCTCTCGGAAACACTTCACGTGCCGCGTCACCGTCTGCCTGGGGGGCAACTGCACGCGGGGCATCAGCATCTGCAGGACCGCTTTGGCGCCAGGGGCTTCGAACACTCTGAACGGCCTCAGGTCGATGACGCAAAATGCGATGCTGAGAGCGCGACCTATCTGCGTCTGCACATCCGGCGGATACGGAGCCTCCGAACGCTTGGCCGCGTGGTAGGCCAAGTGCGGGTGAACCCGTCTCAAATGTTCCAGGATGTTCGAAGTGCTACCACCAGCGTAATCCCGGCAACCGCCCTGCTGCCATTTATCTTGGCTGACGGGATTGCCATCCTCGCCAAGTGGGCAGCAGATTCTACAGAACACTTTCTTGGGCTGCGAATGCAGAAGATACGCATGCTTCCATACGTCGGCCCTGCCTTTCTTGGGCACGTACGTGTCCACGCCCCCCCCAGCCGCCCGCTTCTCGTCGGCGTTCAGGAGCGCCGCCTCTGCTCGGAGCAATTCTCGGTATTGGCCAGGGTCTTCTCTACGGAGGCGTTTGATGACGAGAGCATCTTGGGCAGCTCCTGGAAGGCGACAGATGAACTGAGCGATCTCGTCCGGTGCCGCCTCAGCGTCCTGCGACGACGGCTGCGACGAGGGCGCCGATGGCGCTTCGTCCGGTTCGCCAGCGCCCTCGCCAATGATGAAATCCGCCATATCCGCATCGATGGAGTAGAGGAGGAGGGTAGGGAAGAGGAAGAGGACCGGGGGAGGACGGAAGGAAAGGGGAGGAAGGAGGGCGGAAGGAGGAGGCAGGAGCAGGAGACGAAGAGGAGGGGAGAGTGCAGCCTGCAGCCAGGACTGGCGGCGGGTACGCGCTGCTGCGAAGAGCCAAGCTCGGACGGTGCATCAGCACACTGGTGCTGTGCCCTGATCAGACCCTCGCCTCTTCCTCCTTCCTCCCTCTTACTTCTCCTCCCCCTCCTCTTCCCCCCTCCTCTTCCCCCCCTTCTTTTCCTTCCGTCGTCTTCTTCCTCCCCCCTCCTCGCTCGAGCAGGCCTGCTGCTGTATGCGTTTCCTGTTCTCGAGCTGGGGTATCAGCTCGCCCATCTTGCACATCAGCGCGGTCTTTGTGTGTATCTGCGGCACGAGTTTGAAGACGAGCCAAGGCAAGACTCTACGGATGGGGAGGAGGAAGAGGGGGCTGCAAGGGAATGTGGGCGAAGGAGGGGAAGGAGGCGAAGGAGCAGGGGGGAAAGGAGGACGACCGTGCTCACGACGAAGAGGCTGTGCGCAACAAGATCTCAATCAACATGGAGAAGACCATCAGAATGCCTTAGAGCGCGGCACTAGAATCTCTATTGAACACCTTGCCCGTTGACGGAGGGCGCGACACCCCGATGCGGCCAAGCTGACGGAAGATCGTGGTAGAGGGTAGAGGACCTCTCGAGGCAAACCCCATGGCGAGACTGGCGAGGCGACAAGAACCTTCGGGAGAGCAGCTGCCCATGCCCCCACGTGGGGGGACCCGCGTCCCCGCGCTTCCACGTGGGACGTACCCCCCGCGGCCCTCGCGCCTCCGCGTCCTCCACCCGGCGGGGTGCAGGGGACCCCCTCCCCGCGCCCCCCCCGCCGCGCCCCCCCCCCGCCGCGCCCGCCGCGCCGCCCGCCGCCGCCGGGCCCCCCCGGGCCCGACCTCTGGGCGCCGCCGCCGCGTGGCACCCAACTGTCTACCCGACTGGGCGCTGCTCCGCGGTGGGGGGCGGTGCTGCGGGGAGGGCGAAGAAGCGTGCACCGGCTCGCGCCCCTCCAGGTGCCCCAGAGGGCCCCCGAGGGCCCCTGGCAGGGCACGAAAGCTGCAGCTTCCGTCGCCCGTCACGCAACGCCCGCCCTGAGGTTGCGCGTCCAGCCCCCCAGCCGGGGGGTGTTGGCGCTCCTGGAGCCTTCCCTGGGCGCCTGAAGCAGTGACCCACGGAGCGCTGGGACGGACCCACAGCAGAAGCATACGCTGAGAAAACTTGCCATGAAAAACCCACCAAAAGCGCACATTCGTCATTCCGTGTTTTTTGTTGCATACCTCTAAGCCGGAAGCCAACTAGGTGGCACCAACAACACGCGCCGACTGGAAGATCGCACAACACACTCGCAGACCCTTCCCCCCCGCTCAGGCCACGCACGGAACGTCGTCCACTCGTACCATATTGCGTCGGGCCGTCACATCGCTGGTGGTGGGGCCCCCCATATGTCACGCTCCGTCGTCATATGTGCCCTCCCTGATGTGTCCCAGGACCTCTGTCAAGTCCTGGAGCTGGGGGTCGGAAAGCCGCCTGCTGAAACGAAGGCGCCCAACCAGGGGCCCAAGCAGATCGAGCCGGGAGATCGCGCCGCATCCTCGATGCACTGGCGATGCGTCGGCGGTGTCGGAAAGGAGAACATCGGAGCTCCGACGAATGTGTCAGAGATGCGGAACTACCTCTCGGCCTCATCGACTGCGGCACCGTATCTTGACTTCGCTCGGACGTCCACTGCCCGTGCATGTTTCGGATTCGTGCGTGTATTTGTTTGGCTTGGCGACCCAAAAGGCAGCTCGATGGCCCTCGCCGAAAGAACAGGCACACGTCCGAGCGATGCCAAGCCATTGGGGCGGCCTGGGTGTAAGCCAAAAGAGGATCAAGCGGTGGCCCCAGCGGGGCTCCGACCGATGCATCGGCGATGCGGAGCGACCTCTCGGCCTCATCCACTAGGAGGAGTAGGAGGAGGAGGAGGAGTAGGAGTAGGAAGAGGAGGAGGAGGAGGAGGAGGAGGAGGAGGAGGAGGAGGAGGAGGAGGAGGAGGAGGAGCAGGAGGAGAGACGCGCTCCTTGAGGCGCGCCGAATTCATCCGCTTGCCAGGCTATCAGCCTAGCACCCAGTTTCAGTGCGTCAGAGCTCTCACTCCAGCACACCTCGTCGCAGACAGGCGCATTCGGCCCTCCAGGAACTTTACTCCACGGGGGTGTGAAAACAAATCTCGAGCACGTAAATTATTGAAACTAGTAAACACTAGGTCAGCAGCAACAGCAGTGGCGTGAAACTCATCAGAACAGGCATACTCTCTAGAGTACATATCAAAGCACGCTCTAGGGTCACAATTACCCCACCAGTCAGGAAGAGATGGAAGGAAACGCTTCACAACAGGAACTACATGAGGGCAGGTGAAGTAATGTAGAATATCATCAGCACCACGACAACCAAATCGACAACCTTTGCAAGCTTGACGATAACGACGCGACGTATTCACAGCATTGCACATACACCTGAGAATACTTAGACCAACATAACAGGGATATTTGTGACCCAGCGTGCACACTCGAAGAACCACCAGAGATATCTGCTCGGGCGTGATGTGCTCGTTCCAATACCTGAGACGGGCACCTACCTTTTCCTGCAGGGATTCAAACGGGAACAGATCATGGAAGACTTTCTTAAGCTCTTTCTGGAGCTTTGGGCATTCGAGGACACCTTCTTCCCAGGGCCGATTCCGAATTTCCCGAGGAAGACTCCAACCATAGTTATACAAATCAATCATCTGTTTCAAGGGGGAGCGTTGGTAAAACTTGTTGAACCTCCAGCCCAGGATCAGGTCATCCCCCTCCAGAACCTCCTCCATCTCCAATTTACAGTCCCAAAGAATCTGCGAACTTGCAGCATTCTCATAAAGCGCAGCTCGTCCTTCGTGCCACAACGAACGAACACTCCAGCTCTTGCTGAATCTATCCTTTAACTGGAGCAGGACCGCATTCGGGATGGCATATCTCGGACAGGCTGACAGAATCTGGAGGCCATCCCTCTCGGCATCAGTAGCTTCTTTTGGAAGAGCAAAGAAGGAGGCGACGAACAATAGGACGGAGACGGCGATGGAATTGCATGCCATGATAGCATGGTGGAGGCCTCCAGCTAATGAGCGGATAAAGCGGCATCGTTCAACATACTTGGCGATGGGACTGGTCCACGAGCGCTCTAAACCTCTGCGGCCTAGATGGATACCTAAGTACTAGCCCCAATTCTGGATAGAAAACTTACGAACTCGAACTCCCTGGGCTTGGAACCTCCTCAACTCCTCCTCTCGGTCAATCTCCTGCCTATAGAACACAATGACGCACTTGCAGAGGTTCAGGGCGAGACCTGCGACGCACGACGCGCGGACCAGGATGCGCATCAGGACAGGCAGGGCGCAATACAAGTCCTGCGAGAAGAACGCCATATCGTCAGCGAACGCACTCAGGGGGTGCTGGGGGCTCGGCAATCTGCTTTGCATCTGGCGCAATACTGGATCGAGACCAAGCACGAAGACACTTCCAGACATCGGGCATCTCTGACGAACCCCTCGGAAGATCTCGAATCCAGGAAATCGACGGCCACCCAGGAGCATGTCCACGGAGATTCTGCGACACAGCGCCCTGACCGAATTCACGGAAAAGCCTGGACCCCCCTTGGTTGACAGCACGAACTCGATCCAGAAGCGCAGTGAACTCGGGAAGGCCGCCTTCCCGCCCAGCAGGACGGAGCCGGCACTCTCGACGCACTGCAGGATGCCATAGCGCAGCATGTTACACTCGAGCTTCAAAATGTTGCCAGACATCTGACGGGTGCGAACGAAGCCGCTCTGGGCCTCACTGGCGCCTAACGCGCACTGGTCAGAGAGGGCTTTGTTCAAGGCCAAGCCTAGGATCTTCGCATCCGCGTTGCTCAATGTTATCGGGCGTACATCATCAGGGGCATGCCAAAAGCTATTCACATCTTCCTGGTGGGAACCTTTCGGGATAAACACCATCAAACCTTTGTTGACGTCCTCAGCAAGGGGGGGGGCACCTGTCTGGGAGTAGCAGTGTAGATCATATAAAGCGTCGATAACAAATTCGCCTCCGTACTTCCAAGCAGAATAACAAAGCCCATCTGGGCCTGGAGCACAATCCCGAAAGCGGCTAACCATATGATGGAAACGTTCCCGAGAAAGCTGCCGCTCGACAGCAGGGTTGACGGGCTGGATGAACGGGGTGAGCTCGGCGGCAACCTCATGAGAGGCTTCAGCAGCGCCATGTACTCTGGCCCAATGCTGGCGAAGCGCATCGGCACCTATCTCGAGCGAGGGGTACTGCGACCCGTCAGGAGCACGAATTCCTGCGAGGGCCATCTTGCCGCCCCGAGGGGCCCAACTCTGGGCCAGCCTTTGAATCTTGGCTAGCCGTGCATCTCGAAAACATCCGGGAACAAACTCCTGCATCAGCTCCTTCCTCTCCTCCTCGAGACCTCCTCTCGCCACCTCCCCCATGCGTTGATGAAACCCATGCCTATTGATCCACGTGCAGGCGCACCGATCTATGAACAAGGCGAGCTTCGGCAATATCTCACAGGCCGGCCTGGTCACGTGGTCGCGCATGTTGAAGAGCTGCTGGATGCCAGCGATGCTTTGAGATCTAAGAGGGTACCGAGGGGTCAGAGGAGGGCCCAGAAAGCCTCAAGGTCAGGAGTACAGGGCAGTGATCACTGGGGGCCCGAAGTTCGCATACATCCCAGACTGTACCTGTTTGTGGATGATAGTCGCACATGTCGGCTGCGCATGAATTTGTGAAGATTCTGTCGATGCGGGTTAACGCTTTGACGGCCCGTATGCCATTTGTTTCGGTAGTGATCCTGTGGGGGGGGGAGAGCTGCTCAACTGAACTTCAAAGAAGCGCGCAAGGCCGTCGACGGCCATCTGGTGGATCTCGCCACTCACATACTGGATGCCCTCGCCTGGGGCCGAGAAGTTGAAATCGCTCAGCAGAAACGTCAGAGCCTGCGATGGTGGGGGCGTCGCCTGTCGGATCCTCAGTAAGAGCTGACGCTGCTCAGCCCTGCCCAACTTGGGATCTATGTGGATATTGAAAAAGCATACCTCTCCAGAATCCGCCTGAGCACGAATCCCATGGCAGCGGCCAGGAGAAACCACAGAGGGTCGGATGTCCCGAAGTTTGGCCAGGATGACAGGATGAATGACCAGGAGCACTCCAGCCCGAATATGCGAGTGTGGGTCGAACGAACCGGAGATCCCATGATTGGGTAACTCGTTTTCGATGGCGACGAGGTCCCCTGAGTGCCCATGAGTTTCTTGCGCGCCTACAACGCCAGGATGAGCGCAAAGCGGATGCAATCGAGAGTGTTTCCCAGCAGTAGTTTCGTGATGTCCATGAGTAGACCCGAAGGGCCCCTGCGAGTTCCACGTAATGATTTTGAGACCAGAGGATCCATGGAGCCCAGAGAGGGGAGCGAGACTGGTGGGGGACCCGTTATAACTACTACTACTCACTTGTGACTGTGACCGCGCAGACGGCGGCGGCGGCGGCGACCCTGGCGGGCCACTTGAATTCGCAAATCGGATTGTCGACGCCTCAACATAAGCAGAGGAGGAGGAGGCAGTGGAAGTGAGAGATCTGCTGTGCTGCTGACTGGTATTAAGATCTAGCCCCGACTGAGCTTCCGTGGGCCCGATCCCCAAGCCGGGCAGATCTGTGAAAATCTCTGCGAGACTAGACGCTGGCAAGGCTGGCTCCTAGATGAAGCCATCGCTGGGGGTGTCGGCGGCGACCTGGATGAGCTTGTTGGCATCCTCGGCATTGATCCCCCACTCCTGCAGGTGGTCAATATTCGGCTGGATGCTGTACTGGTTCTCACTCTCCTCGACAGTGTGGAAGAGCACCCAGTGGTCATCCAGACTGTTGTCGATGATGCTGAACTCGCCGCGGGCTCCGTTGACCCCGAGCTTGTTGGAGTCGGGCGTCCACTTCCCCAGTAGCTGGAGCTTGCTCAAGACGTGCGGCCAAAGACGAGACAACGTGCGCTGACGAAGCCGAGCTTGAAGTGGCATATCAGGACGAACGCGAAGGGGCACCATCCTCTTCGTGCGCGGGTCGAACCACCCAGGCAAGTGCTGGTTGGCCCAGGAACGGAAGTTCTTCGCGTGCTGGTCATCCTCGCAGTGGATGCTGTACGACATAGGTACCTTGTGAAACTTCGCGGTGATCTCCGTGCCAAGCGTCGGCTCGGTCTCCGCAATATTCTGCTTGACGGCCTCGAAGTGATTGCGGCGATGACTCTCGAGAATTGCACGAGGGAAGCCACCTACCCACACACGACAAGGGTCGATCTCGTCATCACGTGCATTAGGTGGAGGAGGCCCAGCTTCTGTGCGCCTCATCTTCGCACGAGAGACCGGTGAAGATGCTGTAGATATAGTAGACGCTGGACGAGACAGGGTGTCGAGCTGCCTCTGAAGCGAGGCGACTTTCCCATCTATCAAGGCCTGCACCTTGTTGAACTTCGCGGGGTCCTCCATCTGGTCGTCGGTACAGTCCTGGAAGGCGAGATTCTCCTCCAAGCGCTGCTCGAGACCATGGAAGCGAGCCTCCCATGGCGTGCTGATGCCCGTGATCATGGTCTGCATGTCCTCGTAGGTCTTGCTCTGCGCAGCACTCAAGACTCCGATAGATGTCTCCAATGCCGCTGCCCGATTCTGGTAAGCGTCGATCGCTGAGCGCATGGTGGAGAGCTCTGTCGTCATCTGCAACGACTGGTTGTTCACTGCCGCCGTGAGCGCCTGCAGCGCGGCAGCATCAGCCATGGCTGGACTTACGGGTGTTATCCGTATGGTTCTGGCTTGAGCCAAAAAGGCTTGAGCCAAAATGGCTTGAGCCAAAATGGCTTGAGCCAAAATGGCTTGAGCCAAAATGGCTTGAGCCAAAATGGCTACGGAAGAGGAGGAGGAGGAGGAGGAGGAGGAGGAGGAGGAGGAGGGAGGAGGGGCCCCATATCAGGGCGGCCTGGGTGTGAGCCAGAAGAGGAGCAGGTGGTGGCATCCCGCCTCGGGGTGCGTGAACTTCCCGTCCTCCGTCTTAAGGAGGACCTTCACGCGCCCGCGGTTGAGCCAGTCCCGCGGGTACGCCTGGCGGCCAAGGGCGCGTCGGCGTCGAAAGCAGGACGGGGGGGCACGTGGAAGACTCGAGTGCCGACGTTCACGCGCTGGCGCCCGCTGCGAGCATGGCTGCATGCGGCCATCGTGCTACGCGAATGCTGAAAAGCAAGCTGCAGGGGTTTGTCTGGACACGGGGAGCGTCGACCACCGAGAGGCTCCCCGACCTGGATCACAGGGGGCGGCCCTGAAACCAGAGCCCTCTTGAACTCATATTGATCCCAGCTTTTGGTCGGGAATGTCATCCTACAGGCGGAGTTTCGAGGAAAAATGAAAATAGTAAAGAGTACCCCAAATCAGACTACTTTTCGACTATTTTTGAGCATTCCTCCTGGACAGGGACATGCCCGACTTAAACCCAGAGTGATCCTACAAGCCTCGTCACAAATACATTGAAACGCTGTTCAAAATCGAAGCGCTCGATGCGTCGGGCACTTGTCAGACAACGCGTTCCTCAATGCTGCGAGGGTCCTGCCGGATTTCGGACACCCCTGCGTCCTGCCAGCATGGAAGCAGCACCCGCAGCGCAAGCACCGAAAGCAAAGATCAATGCATTTTGACGAGTCATGCAGCTTCAGCGTGCTGGCTGCAGGCCTACGAACTGCACAGAATCGCCCAGGCAACGGGCACCGCTGAAGGGGCCCTGGGACACGCACACACACACACACACACACACACACACACACACATAAATAGACACAAAGAACAAGATTCCCCCCATATTTTCCCTATACTTTCTCGGTTTTCGTCTTCCCCCCACCCCCATATTTCCCATGTTTTCTGGGGAATCGACGACTGATCGTGTCGGTGGGTTTTCTCCCTCCGGAATCGCAGGAGGGGGGCCAGTGCGCTGCTCCGTGCCCGCTCGCCTGCGGAAAGAGCCCCGGGCCGAGGTCGCAGCATCGCGGACACGGCACAACCGCTCACCCTGACGGGGCCCTGGGGCGCACCAGTGTAAGTGGACACACACACATATATATTATTATATATATATATATATATATATATATATATTTTTATACATAATTATATGGTGTGTATATATATTATGTATTAACACATACATACATACATACATACATACATACATACATACATACATACATACATACATATATATATATATATCTCCAGGTTCCCCGTATAGTTTCCTATATTTTCTGGGTTCCTGTCTTCCCCCCCACTTCCTATATTTTCCAAAATTTTCTGGGGAATCGACGATTAATTGTGTCTGTGTGTTTTCTTCCCTCCTGAAACTCGTCTGTCCCACCAGCCTTAGGTCGGGCATGTCCCCTTACAGGCAGATTTTGGACGACAACTTAAGAATACTCAAAAAATACCCCAAAAATGATCGACCAAAATACTCAACAAAAATCGTCCCCTTTATTATTTTTCGACTATTTACCTAACAGCGAAGACTGATAGGTTTCTAATGGTGTCAAAAGAGATCATCTGATGACTCAGAAGGGAGGTCTGGGCGGCATCCGGACAGCGAGGGCCGGGCTCAGGGCCGGGCTTGTTTTAAGCAAAGAGTCGCACACTTCGTGCTCTTCGACCTCCCAGAACTCCACTCCCGGGCCACATTTTGAATGCCCGGAGCCAACTGTAGGCCACTTCGTGCTCTTCCACTTCCCAGAACGCCATTCCCGGGCCACATTTTGAATGCCCGGAGCCAACTGTAGGCCACTTCGTGCTCTTCGACTTCCCAGAACTCCATTCCGGGGCCGCATTTTGGATGCCCGGAGCCAACTGTAAGCCACTTCGTGCTCTTGGAGTTCCCAGAACATCATTCCCGGGCCACATTTTGAATGCCCGGAGCCAACTGTAGGCCACTTCGTGCTCTTCCACTTCCCAGAACTCCACTCCCGGGCCACATTTTGAATGCCCGGAGCCAACTGAACGCCACTTCGTGCTCTTCCACTTCCCAGACTTCCAGGACTCATCATATTCATCATCATCATCGTCCCCGTAGCCTTCTTGGCTACAGCCCTGCTTTCGAAGATTTCCTTTCAAACGAACTGCGCAGCGCCTACTGCGCACCCTAATGCCAGGACATGCTGATAGTTCTCGGTCTGGCGGCGGTGCTCCTGACCCTGCTGCATTGAACAGCGGTGCTCCTCGGCGTGCGGCAGGGAACAGCGCTGCTCCTCAGCGTGCTGCATTGAGCGGTCCTCTGCAAACGCTCGTCGAGCACGCGAGGCAGTTCGGCCGGATACCGAAGCGAAATACAGGAACGTCCGAACAAGAACGGGCCGAAAACAAGTTGGCCAAACGTTTCTCGGACCATCGCGACCGCATCCCCAAAGACATTTTGCATGAACTGCGGGCCCTGGGCTGCGCTGATCGGCAGACGGAGACCGAGGAGTTCAAGCGGAAGCAGAAGACCGAGGAGCTCATGCAGCAAAAGCGAGACAAGACCGAGGAGCTCATGCAGCAAGTGCGAGACCTCGGCCGCCACCCGAAGGAGTATGCCGGGCGTAGCCTCGCAGAGCGGCAGCTGGCAGAGAAAGTCTACGCTGTCCGCTGGAATCCGCACTGGGCCCCAGAGGCCGTCTTCTGCTACGGCAACAACACGCGCAGCACACTGGTGCCTCGCAACGCGCGATACAATGGCTCATGGAGCCACGCGCGCATTGTGATTCACCGACAAGCCAATTGGGTGACCGAGCCGTTGCTCTCTGCGGCCCCTGTGGCAGCTACGCCGTGGCTGTTGTTGCGGGATCAGGTGGCCTGGGAGTGATCTCTGGCAAACAATGTGGTGCTTCTCAGCCTGCATTCATGTGACACGCAATGCCGTGGCATGCACTCGCGTAGTGCTTCTCAGCCTGCACTCGCGCGGTGCTTCTCAGCCTGCGCCTCCTCGGTGCTTGCCAGCCGCCGGATTGGCGCGATTTCCTGCAATACAAGCGGGAGAGATGAAGTATCCGAGCCCGCGTGTCCACGGTGCTTCTCGGCGTGCGTGCTTGTAATCCTAGTTCCAGAAGTAGTAGGACTGCGCGGCCGCGGTGCTTCTCGGCCTCCGAGTTTCTGCGGTGCTTCTCAGCCTGCAAGTTTTGCCGACTGTCCGCTTCACACGCCGCTCCTCAGAGCGCTCCTCTTCCGTTTGCGAGATGTCTTCCAAGATTTGGTTGGAGGCCGATAAAGACGGACAGAACAAATCCAAGTAGCGCGGTCATCATCCCATCATCTTCCTCAATCATCACATCAAAATCATCAATGGCTTCGCCGAGCACCCCGGTGGAGACTCAGGTCTTACGGGTCCGTGCCCTTACTACTACTACTACTACTACTACTACTACTACTACTACTACTACTACTACTACTACTACTACTACTACTACTACTACCACTACCACTACCCTAAACTACCACTACCACTACCACTACCACTACACTACCACTACTACCACTACTACTACTACTACTACTACTACTACTACTACTACACTACTACTACTACTACTACTACTACTACTACTACTACTACTACTACTACTACTACTACTACTACTACTACTACTACTACTACTACTACTACTACTACTACTACTACTACTACGACATCACACTAAATCCATTCATGGGAGTGCCTGTTTTGGAGCTACACTCATTGATGCAAGTGTGTCGTTTGAGGCTCAACCCGTTGATAGCAGTGTCTCGTTTGGAATCACATCCGTTGATAGCAGTGTCTTGTTTAGACCTCAATGCATTTATACAAAGATCTCATTTGGAGATACCGTTATCGAAAGCAGTGTTTCTACTGCTACTACCACTGCTCCCATCACTCCTACTCGTTCACTCCACACACTACAACTACTACTTCACTGTTACCACTACTACCATCACTACTACTTCTACTGCTACTACTACTGTTACTATTACTGCTGCTGCTGCTGTTGCTGCTGCTAGTGTAGCTATTGCTACTGCAACTACTGGCAGTGCCACTGCGACTGCCGCTGATGTTGCCACTGCAACTGCCACTGCGAATCCGAATGCGACTGCGAGAACAGCAGAATTCTACAACAGCACTCTTACATGAATACCACAGGCAATGTTTCCAGCTATGCTTCTACACATCGCTGTTAGGTTGCTCTGCCGGGATAATTTTGAATATTCCTCCTGTGGAGGGACAGGCCCGACTTAACACCAGCCGTCCCTCCGCAGGGCTCTACCTGAACAGTGTTTTTTTCGTCTTCGTTTCGTTTTTTCGTTCTCCCTCGTTTTGTCGTCAATCCGCCTCTTGCTGCGAAACGACATCGAAACGAAAACGGCCCACAACAAATCGCCCAAAACAGCGTGTGGGTCGACCCCTGCCCTCCGCCCCTCTGTTCGTCCCTCCGCCCGCATCTCCGCCAAGTGGTCGCAGGGAGCCTGGCGGGGACAGGGGAACCAAAAAATGCGACAAACAGAAACTCTTGGCGCTCCGCGCGGATTTCCTAGATCTGCGCCGGACCCCCCTCCCTGGCGCGCTCGGAGCGCGCCAGGGACGGCGCCAGAGGCGCCGCCAGGGGGGCCTGCAGTGCGGATCCAAGAAAGCCGTGCGGACCGCCACAAGCTTATGCTTTATGGCGCTTTTTACCTAACAGCAGAGACTGATAGGTTTCTAGTGGTCTCAAAAGAGAGCATCATGACTCCCCAGGGGGCTCTGGGCAGATGCCGGACGGGTGCCGGGGAGAATCCGCGGAAGCCGTTTTAAGCAAACAGTTACACACTTCGTGGTCTTCGAGGTCCCAGAACTCCATTCCTGGGCATGATTTCGAATGCCCGGAGCCAACTGTAGGCCACTTCGTGGTCTTCGAATTCCCAGAACTCCATTCCTGGGCACGATTTTGAATGCTCGGAGCCAACTGTAGGCCACTTCGTGGTCTTCGAGTTCCCAGAATTCCATTCCTGGGGCATGATTTTGAATGCCCGGAGCCAACTGTAGGCCACTTCGTGGTCTTCGAATTCCCAGAACTCCATCCTCCTGGCAGATTTTGAATGCTCGAGCCAACTGTAGCCACTTCGTGCTCTTCGAATTCCCAGAACTCTATTCCCGGCATGATTTTGCATGCTGGCAGGCTGAGGCTGAGGCTGAGGCTGAGGCTGAGGCAGGCTGAGGCTGAGGCAGGCTGAGGCTGAGGCCGAGGCTGAAGGCAGACTGAGGCTGAGGCTGAAGCAGGCTGAGGCTGAGGCTGAAGAGGCTGAGGCTGAGGCTGAGGCTGAGGCAGGCTGATGCTGAGGCCAGGCTGAGGCTGAGGCTGAGCTGATGCAGGCTGAGGCTGATGCAGGCTGAGGCTGAGGCCGAGGCTGAGGCAGACTGAGGCTGAGGCTGAGGCGGCTGAGGCTGAGGCCTGAGGCAGGCCTGAGGCTGAGGCTGGCAGGCTGAGGCTGAGGCTGCAGGCTGAGGCTGAGGCTGAGGCTGAGGCCGAGGCTGAAGGCAGACTGAGGCTGAGGCTGAAGCAGGCTGAGGCTGAGGCTGAGGCAGGCTGAGGCTGAGGCTGAGGCAGGCTGATGCTGAGGCAGGCTGAGGCTGAGGCTGAGGCTGATGCAGGCTGAGGCTGAGGCAGGCTGAGGCTGAGGCCGAGGCTGAAGGCAGACTGAGGCTGAGGCTGAAGCAGGCTGAGGCTGAGGCTGAGGCAGGCTGAGGCTGAGGCTGAGGCAGGCTGATGCTGAGGCAGGCTGAGGCTGAGGCTGAGGCTGATGCAGGCTGAGGCTGAGGCAGGCTGAGGCTGAGGCCGAGGCTGAAGGCAGACTGAGGCTGAGGCTGAAGCAGGCTGAGGCTGAGGCTGAGGCTGAGGCAGGCTGAGGCTGAGGCTGAGGCAGGCTGATGCTGAGGCAGGCTGAGGCTGAGGCTGAGGCTGATGAAGGCTGAGGCTGAGGCAGGCTGAGGCTGAGGCCGAGGCAGAGGCAGACTGAGGCTGAGGCTGAAGCAGGCTGAGGCTGAGGCTGAGAAAGGCTAAGGCTGAGGCTGAGGCAGGCTGAGGCTGAGGCAGGCTGAGGCTGAGGCAGGCTGAGGCTGAGGCTGAGGCTGAGGCAGGCTCAGGCTGAGGCAGGCTGAGGCTGAGGCCGAGGCTGAAGGCAGACTGAGGCTGAGGCTGAAGCAGGCTGAGGCTGAGGCTGAGGCAGGCTGAGGCTGAGGCTGTGACTGCGACTGCCGTTGCCAATGCGACTGTCATCGCGAATGCGACTACGACTGCGAGAACAGCAGAATTCTACAACTGGATTCTCATCTGAGTAGTAAGGGGAATGCTTCCAGATATGCTCCTACACATCGCTGTTAGGTTGCTTTGCCGGGATAATTTCTTCTTCGAGAAGGACAAGCGGCCCGCCCAGCTATGGACAGCGCGCGGGGGGGGGGCATCCGCTCCGACCTCCTCGGAGCGGGCGGCGGCCACTTTTGGAGTCCCGAAACGGTGCGGTGACGGACGGTGCAGTGACCTCGAAATCCCCCAAGACCTCACCGCACGGTCCGTCACCGCACGGTTTTGGGACCCTGGGGGCCCCTGTCGCCCGAGACATCCTCGGAGAGGGACTCGAGTAGCAGAACCGCGCGGTGACCCCGAACCCCCACCGACTCACCACACGGTGTGGTCACCGCACCGTTTGGGAGCCCCCGACCACTGGGAGAGCCCTCCCGGAGCCGCCGGGCGGCAGCGCACGAAGGGGCCCTCGCCCGAGGCCCGCGGCTCGCGCGTGTGGAGCCCGCCGGCGCGGCGGCGGCTCTCTCGCCGTCGCCGCGCCGGCTCCTCCTCCTCCTGCTCCTCCTCCTCCTCCTCCCTCCTCCTGCTCCTCCTGCTCCTCCTCCTCCTCCTCCTTCTCCTCCTGCTCAGGTCGAGGTGCCTCGGCGGCGCCAGGTCGACGCCAAGTCGACGCTCATCGGCGCCGAATCGGGGCTGCCCCATCGATTCCCAGGCGCCGAATCGACGCGAGCGCACTCCGAGGGCGGAGCTGCGAGGGCGTGCAAAGGCCCTGATGATGTGCCACCGAAGGTGACGCTCTCGGGGCGCTTTCGCGGCGCGCGCCAGTGCGGTAGAAAGAAAAGGAGGAGGAGAAAGGAGAAAGGAAGCTTTCTTAGAAGGAGGCTGCCTCTTGGAAGGCGCCGGCCTCAAATCTACAAATGCGGCCCGCGCCTTCTGAGAAGCAGGGGTGCTTCTAAGAAGCCTCCCTCCCTCTCCCTACACCCATCTGCGCGTGGCCGATCAGCTCAACTGGAAGAAGAGAAGCCAGCGTAATCATAAACTGTCGAAGCTCCGCGTGGATGTCTTTGATCGACACTGGGACCCCCTGGCGGCGCCTCCAGCGCCGCCCCTGGCGCGCTTCGAGCTCCAGGGAGGAAGGGTCAAGCGCTGAGTCAGGAAATCGCAGGAAATCGGCGCGAACCTCCGATAATGTATGTTTATGCTGGGTTCTCTTGATCGATTAGTGTTCTCTGGCCAGTTTGGGGTAGGCGACCTCGGAAAAACTACTTTGGCAAGGACCACCCTGTCGCTGGGGTGGAGCTCATGGGGCGACCGACGCAAAGCAAGCGGCAGCCTTGTCCATCTCAAGCACGTGCGGAATTTTCAGAAACCTCGGTGAGGGCGTCCCCGCAGATAGGTGAGAAAAGGACAAAGAGAGAGAGAGAGAGACAGAGACAGAGAGAGAAAGAGCGCCAGAGAGAGAGCGAGAGAGACCGACAGACAGATCGACAGTCGGACTGACAGATACACAGACGGACGAACGGATAGATGGACGGACAAACAGGCAGACGAACAGACAGACAGACCCACAGACCGACAGACAGACAGACATACATATAGACAAGCACAAACAGACAGACAGATAGACAGACGGACGGACAGACAGACAGGAAGACAGCCAAATAAACAGACAGACAGGAAAGCGCATACACCGACACAGAGACAGAACGATGCATCGAAAATGGGCAAATACACAAATGATTGCGAACATTCTCGCTATAGCAAACGCAGGGACGAAAGCAAGAGCAGCGGTGACAGCTAGGAAAAACGCGGGAATGCGAGTGCGAGCGCAATTGTGTGAGAGAGCGCGACGGGTGGGCCAAAATGGGCGGGGGGGCTGTGCGGGCGCTGCCACCGGAGCCTTCGGTAGAGCTACGTATAGGGCCGCCGCGAAACTTGTGAAGGGTGTGCCACCATGGGCGGGAGGGGGTATGCGGGCGCTGCCACTGGGGCCTCCTTGGTGGAAATTCCCATTGGGCCACGAAGCGTGAGACGGGTGTGCCGACATGGGTGGGGGGACGCATGTGGGCGCTGACACGTGAGGGGTGTGCCGACAGGGGCCTGGGGGCGCATGCGGGTGCAGTCACTGGGGCCGCCGATGGAAGTCCCTGAGGAGCCAAGGCGCGTGCGGGGTGTGCGGGAATGGGTGCTGATGACGATGGTGATGGTGATGGTGCTGGTGATGGTGCTGGTGATGGTTGTGCTGGTAATGATGGTGAGAGAGTGATGGTGAGAGAGAGCGTGATCCACCGCCGCTTTACTGTGGAAAATTGCCGCCCTTTTCCTCCGGAACCCGGGGGTCCCCCCCCCCCCTCCGAAAATCCCCCCCCCCCCTGCTGGACCCCGCCCCCCCTTCCCCCGGCAAAACCCCCCCCTCCCCTAACCCCCCCCCCCTCGAACTCGAAAACCGGGGGGGGTCACTACCGGTTCGAACCCCCCCCCCCTCGAAAACCGGAGGGGGGGGTCACTACCGGTTCGAACCACTGAGCTGTCCCACTGTTCCCACCACTGTCCCCACTGTCCCCACCACTGTCCCCACTGTACCTCTGTCCCATTGTCCCACCGCCGTCCTCGCCACCGCCTTCACCACTGTCCCCACCACCACTGTACCCTCCACTGTCCTACTGTTTCCACCACATTCCCACTGTCCCCACACCACTGTCCCCACCACCACCGTCCCCACCACTGTCCCACTGTCCCCACTGTTCCCACCATTGTCCTCACCATTGTCCCCACCACTACCGTCCCCACCACTGTCCCACTGTCCCCACCACTGTCCCGCTGTCCCCTCACCACTGTCCCCACCACCACCGTCCCCACCACTGTCCGCACCCCCCTCGGTTTTCGAGGGGGGGGGGGGGTTCGAACCGGTAGTGACCCCCCCCCGTTTTCGACTTCGAAGGGCAGGGAGGGTGTTCGAACCGGTAGTGACCCCCCCCCCCTTTTCATGATGAACTGGGGGGGGGGAGGGGTTCGAACCGGTAGTGACCCCCCCCGGTTTTCCGGAGGGGGGGGGGGGAGGGGTTCGAACCGGTAGTGACCCCCCCCCGGTTTTCCGCCAGCAGCGGTAGAACACGCTCTTTCGATGGTGATGGTAATGACGATGATGACGATGACGATGACGATGACGATGACGATGATGATGATGATGATGATGATGATGATGATGATGATGATGATGATGATGATGATGATGATGATGATGATGATGGTGATGATGATGATGATGGTAGTGGTGATGATGGTGATGATGATGATGATGATGATGATGATGATGATGATGATGATGATGGAGATGACTGACGATGATGGTCATGACGGTGCAAATGGTGGCGGTGGTGGTGGTCGCCATCAGAACGCGCAGGGGGGCAGAAGCAAGGATGGGAGGACGGACGAGAGGGGAAGAGTTGGTGACGACACGGGGTGCTGTCTTCAAAACCAGGACCCGACTCCACGGAATGGTTGGCAGAAGCTGAGGAGCATGGGGAAGGATGAGCAGGGCATGGCAAAAACGAGGAACATGAAACATGCGAAAAATATTATCCTGGCGAAGAACCCAACCATATGAAGTTGTGGGTACCGCAATTGTGAATATCTTCTTCGGTGAAGCTCCCTATGGGGCCACGAAGCGCTGCGCTGGGCGGGGGGGGAACGCATGCGGGCGGTAGCACTGGGGCCGCTGGTGAAACTCCCTATGAGGCCACGAAGCGCTGCACTGGGTGGGTGAAAATACCAGATTAGGCGTGTGGGACGCATGCGGGCGGTCCCATTGGGGGTTTCGGTGGAGTTCCCCATGGGGCCGCGAAGCGTTGTAACGGGTGGGTGAACATGCCAAATTGGGTGTGGGGGACGCATGCTGGCGGCCCCACTGGGGGCTTCGGTGGGGTTCCCTATTGGGCCACGAAGCGCTGTACTGGGTGGGTGAAAATGCCAAATTGGGAGTGGGGGGGCGCATGCGGGCGGTACCACTGGCGGCTTCGGTGGAGCTCCCTAATGGGGACGCATGCGGGCGGCCCCACTGGGGGTTTCAGTGGAGCTCCCTATGGGGCCACGAAGCGCTGTACTAGGTGGGTGAACATTCCAAATTGGGCGTGGGGGACGCATGCGGGCGGTCCCATTGGGTGCTTCGGTGGAGCTCCTCATGGGGCCGCGAAGCGTCGTACTGGGTGGGTGACAGTGCCAAATTGGGTGTGGGGGACGCATGCTGGCGGCCCCACTGGGGGTTTCGGTGGGGCTCCTTATGGGGCCACGAAGCGCTGTATTGGGTGGGTGACAATGCCAAGTTGGGTGCGGGGGACGCATGCGGACGGTCCCACTGGGGGGTTCGGTGGGGGTCCCTATTGTGCCACGAAGCGCTGCAGTGGGTGGGTAGGAATGCCAAAATGGATGTGGGGGACGCATGTGGGCGGTACCACTGGGGTCGTCGGTGGAGCTCCCTATGGGGTCACGAAGCGCTGTACTGGGCGGGCGAAAAAAAAACACATTGGGCGTGGGGAACGCATGCGGGCGGTACCACTGGGGGTTTCGGTGGAGCTCCTCATGGGGCCGCGAAGCGTCGTACTGGGTGGGTGACAGTGCCAAATTGGGTGTGGGGGACGCATGCTGGCGGCCCCACTGGGGGTTTCGGTGGGGCTCCTTATGGGGCCACGAAGCGCTGTATTGGGTGGGTGACAATGCCAAGTTGGGTGCGGGGGACGCATGCGGACGGTCCCACTGGGGGGTTCGGTGGGGGTCCCTATTGTGCCACGAAGCGCTGCAGTGGGTGGGTAGGAATGCCAAAATGGATGTGGGGGACGCATGTGGGCGGTACCACTGGGGTCGTCGGTGGAGCTCCCTATGGGGTCACGAAGCGCTGTACTGGGCGGGCGAAAAAAAACACATTGGGCGTGGGGAACGCATGCGGGCGGTACCACTGGGGGTTTCGGTGGAGATCCGTATGAAGCCACGAAACGCTGTACTGGATTGGTGAAAATACAACATTGAGTGTGTGTGGGACGCATGCGGGCGGTCCGACTGGGGGCTTCGGTGGAACTCCCTATGGGGCCACGAAACGCTGTGCTTGGTGGGTGATAATGCCAAGTTGGGTGTGGGGGACGCATGCGGGCGGTCCCACTGGGGGCTTCGATGGGTTCCCTATTGGGCCACGAAGCGCTGCACTGGGTGTGCGAAAATGCCAAATCGGATGTGAGGAACGCATGTGGGCGGTACCACTGGCGGCGTCGGTGGAGCTCCCTATGGGGTCACGGAACGCTGTACTGGGTGGGTGGAAATGCCAAATTGGATGTGGGGGACGCGCGCGGGCGGTCCCAGTGGGGGTTTCGGTGGAGTCCACTATGGGGCCACGAAGCGCTGTGCTGTGTGGGTGAAACGCATGGAATAAGGAGGAGGGAGGGGAGGAGGAAGAGGAGGAGGAGAGGAGGAAAAGGAACGCGGGGCGACGTCTCTTCAAAACGATGACCCAAAACCACACGACGGTTGGGCATAATTTGCAAATGTTAGCGTCGACGACGAATACGGCAAAGCGGAGCTCTCGCTGTTTACCATGCAATAGATTGAGATACGCTCATAGCGACATGGAACCAATACAAGGCCAGAGAAAAAGAGAGAGAGAGAGAGAGAGACAACACAACAACAGAGACATGTCGAGACACAGAGAGAGAGAGAGAGAAAGAGAGAGAAACAACAAAAAACATTACTCACTGCGTGGAGCTCCCCAGATGTGCATATCATGTCTTATGTCATGCCAGAATGAACGTCTGTTCATGAGCGTTTGAAGATAGTAGTGCGTCCACATGGCCGACAGGGCCGACGAAGACGAGTGAATCCCAATGCGAGTGAGTGAGTATGAGTCAAAGTGAGCTTTGAGTATGATTGACCAGTAGTGAGCTTATTCGTGGTCATCTGCGGCGCAGTGAGTAGGAGTCAGAATGATATATCGCCTGTGCGGCGCCTCGACCCCCTCCTCCGTGCGTCCCAGAGGGTACGTGCCGGAGCACGACCCAAGGGAACACCACGCCTCATCTCCTTCCTCGCAGCATGAAAACGAGCAAACCGCCTGAGACATCCCCACAAAATGGCCGCGAACGGGCCCGTGAAAACATCCCTGGCGGCTCCTTTTAGGGGTTCTGAAACCAACGCCCCGCCTGAGACATCCTCAGAATCTGCTCTGAAAGCCAAGGATGTTCGGCATGAACACGAGCCAACCGCCTGAGACATCCCCACGAACTGGCCGCGAACGGGCCCGTGAAAACACCCCTGGCGGCACCCCGTAAGGGGTGCTGAAACCATCGCCCCGCCTGAGACATCCTCACAATTTGCTCTGAAACCCAAG